AGTCTGCTTCTGTAAAGATTACAGCCTTGGAAACCCTATGGGGCAGTTCTACTCTGTCCTGTAGGGTCACTATGAGTCGGAACTGACTCTACAGCACCTAACAACAGCAACAACACTATCAACAACAAGGCCCTGAGAGTTGCACCCACCTCTTCCCGAGCTCATTCCGTCTCTCCATCTTGCCGAACCAAATCCTAAAGGTGCACCAAGAGCCGACGTGGGCCTCCTGGACCACTCAGTGGGGCTGCAGCCAGGGAATCTGTGCTCACCCTGACCCCTCAGCTCCCACTGCCCCCTGTACACACCCAGGCGCTGCCCCTCCACCTCTTGTGGTCCCCACATCACCCCCTTTGGGCGCAATCCTTGGCTTGCGGATCTCTCAGAGGCACCGGTGCATACCTGAAATAATAATAAATGTTAAAACTCCAAAAACCAAGCTCGTTGCTGTGGAGTCGATTCCTGCTCATAGCAACCCTGTAGGGCAGAGTAGAACGGCCCCATAGGGTTTCCAAGGCTGTAAATCTTTACGAAAGCAGACTGCCACATCTTTCTTCCACAGTTTTGAACCACCAACCTTTTTGTCAGCAGCCGAGTGCTTTAACCACTGCATCACCAGGGTTCTTTCATGATAAATGTTGGCCCTTGTTATTGATATTTTTATGTTACTGCCCCCTGTCAAGGCCTCCAGTTCTGGGGAAGCTGAGTTCCCAGTACTGGGTCTGGGCTGCCCCTCCTTGAATGTCGGGTTTTATGGAGCCCCAGAGGCCTCTCTCCCCTCTGGGTTCCAGGGCCAGACCTTCTCCCAATGGGAAGTCAAGAGCCGACTGTAGCGGCTGCCCCTCAGGTGGGTTGCCCAGGTAGGTGCCACCGCCTGGACAGAGGTAGCAGAACTTGATCTTAGGTTCCTCCCCTGATACCGAAGCTTGGTTGCTGGGAAGGATGAGGCTGGGCCTGAGCTTCCATAGGCACCTGCCCTGAAGGGGGGCAGGGCTGGCTCTCTTCAAGTGACAGGGCTGGGGGCAGGCCCCAGGGCCAGGCTCTCAGATTGGCCTAACTTAGGGATGGGAGACAAGCTGGAGGAGCCGGGAAACCAGGCTAGACTCCATGTTCCCACAGTGTGGCCACGGGCAGTGCCTGCCCTTTCTTGTCAGCTCTGCCAGGAGGAAGACTGAGTGTGATAGTGAGGGGAAATTGCTGCTGACGAAGGAAAACCCACCCTTTCTCCTCCTGCACAGCCAGCCCCTCATGTGCTCATCCCTCTATGCCGCCATGACAGGGGCCATGCTGGGTTCTTCACACATGTTCTCTCTTGCCAGCCACCTGCTATCCCCAGGCACACGCCCGTGTTGCAGATGAAGAAACTGAGGTTCAGAGAGTTTAAAGCAGCATGCCATTCAGGGCCATTCAGTTAGTCAGTGGCAACTCTGGGATTTGAACCCAGGTCTACGTGGCTCCAGAGCCAGGGCTTTTCCCAGCGCATGGACCTTGTAGATTGAGGAGCACCCCAAATCTCCCCAAACTGCAGTGCCTGGGCCAGAATAGGAGCCTCTCGGAAGCTGACTGGAGTGGGCCCCAGGGGGTAGGGCATCAGTCCAGGGGCTCAGCTCTCTCTGTTCCTTTCTGCCTCCTGCCCAGCCAGGGAAATGGCAGCCCCCTCCCAGTAGCCTCTCTGCCCTGTGTCTGTCAGCCTACAGGAAGCCCTGGGGCCTGAGATGAGCAGATGTGCTTGTCCAGCACAAGGAGCCCAGCCCGGAGGTGGCCTCTGGAAGGAGCAGCAGAGGTGGGTGTTGAGGGGGGCTTTGCCCAGGGGGAGAGCACCCTCAGGCATACCTTCTCCTCCTCAGGGGTAACCTGGGGGACCAGATGGACCATGGAAACACCTGTCATTGCCCTGTCATTCGGTCACCCCTGGCCTCTGCAGAGAGCGTGAGTGAGTCCAGGGCGAACAGTCCGGGGCCTGATGCCCGCAGGGCTGATGGCTGCTGTTGGCGATGGTGGGCTGCTTTACGGCCCTCCTCAGCCTACCTCCAATCTTCCACTCCAGCCAGATGGAGCTATTTTTGTTTCCCTCAAATGCCCCA